TCCCTGACCTGCTGCCCACACTCCTCTTGATGCACCCCAGGATCCCATTGGCCTTCTTGGCACCCAGGGCACGCTGCTGGCTCAGGGTCACCCTGTGGTCCCCCAGCACTCCCAGTCCCTCTCCGCAGAGCTGCTCCCAGCAGCTCAGCCCCAGCCTGTCCTGGTGCCTGGGGTTGTTCCTCCCCAGGTGCAGGACCCTGCCCTTGCCCTGGTTGAACCTCATCACAAACCACATTTTGTCAGTGCTCTGCGGGGAAATCTCCCTCGTTTTGCACCAAGCTGGAATGAGCCGAGCGTCGGGAATTGCTCCGCGTCCCCGAGTCGGCAGGAGCCCAGCCTCGCCCCCGCTGACGGTTTCTCCCCGCTGTGTTTCAGGGCCATCCTTTCATGGAGAGCCTCCGGGAGAACAAGCCTCTGCTGTGGAGCATCGTCCTTTCGGGGCTGGCCATCGTGGGCCTGCTCACGGGCTCTTCGCCGGAATTCAACGAGCAGTTTGGCTTGGTGGAAATCCCTACGGAGGTGAGCGGGCAGCGAGTTGTGACGCGCGGGGAGAACGGGACTCAGCCTGTCCTTGGGGGGAATCTTCAGGTTTTTGGTAGAATGTCAGGCCGAGAACTCGCAGGAACGCTACCTAAACAGCTTGAAGTGAGAGGATGTGGTCGCCGTCCCGCTGAAGCGCTGGGGTTATCGATACGGGCTGGGGGATGACGGGAGCGATGGCAGCCCTGCGGAGAAGGACTTGGGGGGGCACTGGGGGACGGAAAGCTGGATGTGAGCTGACAACGTGCGCTCACGGCCCCGGAAAGCCAACCGTACCCTGGGCGAGGGAGGGGATTCTGCCCCTCGGCTCCGCGCTACTGAGACCCCACCTGGAGTCCTGCGTCCAGATCTGTCCTCGCCTTGTCAGCAGACCGAATTCTGCAGTTTCTGCTGGGGAGCGCAAAACTCAAAGTGCCTTCCTGAGACGGATGGCGAGGCCCTCGCCCCCCCCAAACCCCACGGCGCGACACGAAGGACAGCGCCCAGCGCCGCGTTTCGCCGTCGCAAGAACCGGCCTGAAATCTTTCGATGAGAAAC